AACAAATAGTGGTGTTTTGTTCTCCAGTGTTCCCGAATTTGGACACACACTACACCGGCCGACCATCGCACACGCTGAAAATCGACCGAAAATTACTGAAGTACCAAATATAAACATATTACAGCTGGGAGCGAGACCTCCAATACCGATACATGAAGGTACCATAGAAGACGACAGAGATCCCGATTACGACTACGTAGACAGGAACATAATCAAAGGAAACGTTTACAAGTGACTCTCTCGAAAAGTATGAATATTATCGATAGAGACCTAATACAAGAAAGATCATTAGCAGTAACAATCTGCAATTGGTCCATTTGGCCAATATTTTTGAGGAATCATGCAAGTTATTAACTTCAAATGAAAATAAGTCGACAAACATTATGTATGGAGCAATTAAAAATAATAAATAATGGTATTAATTCTCCTATATTAATATAAAACGCCGCTCTGAAATGCATATAACAATGTGGTCCTGGTGTGAAGCACTTAACGTCAGGATATGTATAATATTATCGTCACCATTTCTAAATATACAATTGACACATTAATGCTATCGATAGCATAGTATAAATACACCATTTAAAAGTAATCACACTGTGATAGTCGTATAACTGAACACTTTGTGCACTAAGAGATCTAACATTGAAGGGTGGATTTGTATTTTCACAAATCACTGTAAAGTTTGAGCTTACGTACTTTTTTTCGATTTCAATTCATAAGCCAAAATATTTGTTAAACAAAATCAGGCAAGATAATCCACATGACAAAACCACGACACTAGCGCTCGACCGGTACGCCTAATCCTACCGTATAGAGTCCACAAAACAGAATAGCGTAATTTTTCACCAATTGGCATTAGTAGAATAGACAGGAGAATGCTCTTACCGTAAATTCTCGAATAAGCGCCGCTCTCGCATAAAAGCCGCACCAAATGTTATTTTTTTACCAAGTGCCGCTCTCAAAATATCCCCGCAGTGCTTATTCGAGAGTACATAATTATTACCCTGTGTGTAATGAAACACTTTCAGAAACAGGATTTTAAAAACAATGTACACAGTGTTCAAATGAATAAATAACATACTGAAGACACAAGCATATTTTTATAAACGTTTATTACTATAATGTAGATGAATGTTTCAATTCAATTCAATTTAATTTCAACTTTATTAACGTGCTTGCGGAAAATGTGTTGAGTGTGCACTAGTTATACGTTGTAGTCTAATTTTTTTCTCCACTCTACTTCCGCGCGCTAATTCGAAGATTTACGGTAATTTGTTTAGTTTTAGTGATAAAAATCATGCAATTATATAATAATAATAATAATAATAATAATAATAATAATAATAATAATAATAATAATAATAATAATAATAATAATAAAGATTTATTAAGCGCACATCTCCACCAATGGTGCTCAAGGCGCAATGTCAATTTCACCACAAAATAAAAAAAATCCATATTAATTCTCAGAAGAATTTCGAGCAGAAGTTTGAGTTGGCTGATTGGCTAATTAATTTGTCTTCTTAGTTTAACTGAGACAAATATGTACGGTATATTTGTCTCAGCTTTAAAGACTGGACCCATGAATGGTTGAATTTCTAAACCATAGTCACACTGGATTGATGTCAAAACCTCCAGGCTAACAGACAAACTCAATTAATGTTCCAAACAAATTTAAAGAAACAATTTTGATATTGATATTATCAATCAAAATTGTAGCCATTTAAACACCACGATGAAATCATGAATAACGTGTAAGAATTACTAGTTTACAAACAATAATGTTGACTTTTATCGATATCTTAAATAAATATTATATTATTACTTTTGTTAGTGACGACGTTTTTGACGTAGTGTTAATATATTGATATTCTATTCTAAAATAAAAGTTGATAGATTGACTGACAGACTGACTGACTAACTTACTGACTGATTAATTGATCGATTGATCGATCGATTGACATATTACTGTCTCAATGATTGATTGCTTGACTGAGTGAGTGAGTGGGTGAGTGAGTGAGTGAATGATTACTTGCTACAATATCGAATAGGCCTATTTACCCATCAAAAATCTACTGCAATTGTATATTATGTGGTTGCCTATTGTGGACGGGATCATTCGTCGTTTAAATAAATGTTGATTTTATGTTTTTACTATTTTGACTTAAAATCCATAAGCATATTTTTAAATCAATGACGCCACTAAAGAAATTCTTCCAAAGCGGTTGTCAATTCTATTTTTTCATGTGATTAGTTTGTAAACCAATACTTTCTGTTTTGTATTTATTTTATTCTAAGAATTATTTCTTATCGATGCGTGTGTAGACTACTTTTCTTCAATACACTTTAAGGGATTAAATGACTTTGTGGTCATAAGTGATGTCACGACGACGATAGAATGAAGCTAAGATATTTCACTCGATCGCGTCTGGTATTTATGGCGAGATGTATCTAAGGTGTAAACTCGTTGCAAACCTTCTCACGCTGTTTATCAGTACCACAGATATAGTCCGTGCTGTATTCTCTTGTAAAGATTTAGGTAAGTAGTAGTATAGCTTTAAGCCGGGCACTCACTGCGTCACACGACGTTCGTACGACTGTCGGCCGAAGAATTCAACTCCGCTGCCTGTAAGCTATAAACGACGCGACGCCGTCTGCTGATTGTCGGTAGCCATCTAAATGGATCGTCATTAAAAACGATCCAGTGCATGTGCGTCGTGGTGTTTCGTTCCTTATAGAATTTCGTCTGCTGACGACCGTCGTCGGGAGCAGTAATTGTCCGGCTTTAGGGAGCCTTAACGATGACGGAGAAGACGCCGGACTTGGAATAATGCACTTGCCTTCAATAACAAGATGTGAAAACACTTTTATTCGTTACTGCCCCTTGGATTCAATTAATTTTAAAATGCAGATTTGAATTCAGATTTGATTTAGGCCTATAGCCTATTAATTACAAATAACAGTGACATGACTGAATTGCTTGTGATGTACAATATGCCTATATAAAATTTACTTAAAAGTATGAAGTCTATTAAAACAGTGCTCTTATAAAAGACTTTGGTAAGAATAACATATAAAATCTCTTTGCAAAATGTCCCGGGTTCGAGTCTGTGAGGTGGTGTTGTTATTCA